CAAGGGTGTGGATACTTCTGTCCTTTAAGACTTGTACCTGTGATCTGCAGTCTTAAAGAAAAAACCAAGAGCTCTCAGAGGACTGACTGGCAGATCTATATCACAGTAAAGGAAAATCAAAACCATTTAGAAAGCCTTTTGTGAGAGAAACATCACGAAACACACCTCTTCCTCTCTTATCATTCTGCACAAAGTTAGGGGCACTAACAGCAGCAAGTACTATGAGATATGTCCCAGTTGCATCTGCATCTTCATAAAGGTCAAATATCAATTTTTCAGGCTGCTGCACTAAAAGGCTATTGTACTTAAGTACTATTTAGTACTATTGTACTAAAAAGGCTCAGGAGGTATCCTAGGAGTTAAAATGAGGAATTTTGGTGGTTACTGAAGTGTGGAATGAATGTTGGGGACTAGAACACTGAAAATAAATAATACTGAGAATCAAAAGCTGCCATGCTGGGACTTCAAATGACTGCTTCTGACCATGTGCCCTATCCCTCCAGATCCAGCAACCTCTGTCGGGTTTCCAGAACGATCTCCTCCATCACCTCTGGTTTGAGAATGTCCTTGATCTGGAGTGGAAAGAAGAGTAACACTGGCGACAAAAAGCAACTACTACTATCACACACTCTGTGGGAACAAGGGTCCCTGGCACAGAGCAATAAGCAGCAAGTGAGTTTAGAAGGTTGTGGTCAAACAAGAAAATCATGACAGACAGTCCAAGGCAAAGTCAGTTCTGCCAGAGTTTGCAATTCTTACACAGAGACCATAAGAAATCAAAAGAGATGCTACCAACAACTCCTAATCTCTCCTGAAAGACACACACCAGTATTTGGGAAGGGGAGAGATGACACACAGAAGTATAGTTCAAAAAGAACATCCCATCTAGCTGAGTAGGCTGCCACTGTGAATGAAAGAGAAGACAATTCAGATCTTACCCATTTATAAGAAGAGAATTGCTAGTGATTGTGCTGGCAGAAATGACAGAAAAAAGCTATACAGCAAGAGGTCAAATTGAGAGAGCCTTCCAGCAGTGCAGGATGTGGATACAAACAGAAGAACAGTCTCTGTACAATACGTGACACTTGCTTTTTCATCATTTGTTCTTAAAGTGCACCATACCCTCACACAACCCCAAATTTAACAGTTTTCAGAAGGATCACTGAGAGTCCGTAATCCTAGCAAGGGATACATCTCTATCAAAGAATGGAACTACTTCTCTACAGGAACAGTTGGATTTTGCCAGAGGCAGAACCCTTCAAACTATCCCTGAAAACACGCAACTCAGTTTATATTATGCAGGAGGGAGGAAGTTCATATTGTCACTTAACTACAGGATGCTTTGGAAAGCCAAAAGGAAGCCCTACCACTGAACTTACTGACCTCAGCAGCAACTGATGCGGCCTTTCCATTCCCTCCCCACAGCGTCCAATAGAGTAAACACTACTGGTTCCCGTACCTGATGAGGAAGGGATGCTTCATAGCAATATAGGATGCTGGTGTCAAAGAGCATCAAATTCTGAGTAACCAGAGCCACAATGCAGTTTCGGAGCCGTGAGATCACCTCCCGGTCAGACAAGGGAACCGGCTGAGGAAGGACAGGGGAAAAGAGATGAATACACAGGGAAATAATGCAAGCCTACTGTAAAATAGATTTGCCCTGAACCTAATACCAAATCTTGAAAGTCTCAGGTTATTCATGTCCTCTATGTTAGACTAACAAAACACTGTTGGTCGAAGGTTCATCTTGCCTGACCCCTCACCTCCAAGTTGGTGGTGAAGCCCCCAGCCTCTTCATCTTTCTGCTCTGGAGTTGGGTAGATCCAGATGAAACCGTTGTTGCCAAGGATCACAGATGCACCACAGGGCAAGTCATGGAAGTGAGTTTTCTGGCGTTTGACAAAGGAGGGCGAGACCTGAACGAGCACACCTTGGCCAAGCTGAAGAGGAGACCACGAGACTCAGCACGAGACAGGAGCCACCGTATATAACATCAAGGCACCGACATACGCTCTGCTCCTGGTCTAGGAACCAGTCAATTTTTTTAACACCTCTTCCTGTGAAACAGTGAATATAAAACCTGCCTGCCTCTGGGAGTGCTGGGAGGATTAGCTAATGCCTCTGCAGTCCTTTGAAGATGAAGAATACTCTAAGTGCTTAGCACAAATGTTAATAATATCTTGATCGTAACTACACATAACCATCCCTGCAGAAAAATGAGGGTCGAGAGGCCCAATTTAGCAGAACACTTTCCCTCTTAATCCAATCCCTGTCCTTCACCCTTTGTGCAATAAGCACACTTTGCTTTCATCTTTTAAGTGCTAATACCCTTGGTCTGGTAATCCCAAACTGCAGCCTACGCTCCAGTGGCCCCTTGGCTTATTGCAAAGCACAAAACCAGAGATAAAGGCCAATGGCATAAAGCCCAAAATAGAGCCCTGGAGAGAGAAACAAGTCACAGGGGTGACGGCCGGCAGAAGAGGTGTGATGCATTTGAGCCCGATTTTTCTCCCCAGGGTTTAATTTGCAAGCGGCTAGTGGGGGAAACAGGACTTGCAGGCTGTAACTGTGGACAGGGAGAGCAGCAGCTCAAAGGCAACTCAAGGGCATTCCCTCTGCTCTGGGGTAACCCTGTTCAGTGCTCCCACGTAAGGAGCTGAGATTCTTCCTACCCTGCAGGAATGGGTTATAACAACATCCTGCTCTACTCCAGATCTTAAAAATCCTTCTAAAAGGCCTTATACAAGTCAGCTGGAGCAGAATCAGGCCAAGACCATGTGCTTTTTAATAACTTACCTTCCCGTATTTCAGACTCCGGGTGTGCAGTGACACAGCCCCATCAGAAAATACAGACTGAACCTCTGCCTGTCAGTGCCACTTAAGGAAACAAGGTCCCCAATGCTGCCCGGTGCCACAAGCCACTGGCTGCCGCCGGCAGAGAGCTCCCGCCACCAGCCAGGCTAGCCAAGCTCCAGCTGTTCTCCCCGTGCCCCTTGGCTCTTCTCTCCAAGTGCAGCAGTGGAAGGATACACTGATGAGGTCCCCTTCCTGCAGATAGTCTCTCATCGCAAGCTCATCTTCTGCTGATCTCCTTCTCTGAAACACACAAGGCAAGAAAAGCGACATGGAGCTCAGAATGAGACAACATCTGTTAATACCTACACCGCAGGAGGATGTTAGGCTGCCGTGCAGAACACAGTCTGGTCACTAAAGAAAAAACTCACAGACTAGCACATCTTTAGGTCACTAATGTGTTTACGGCCAAATAACACTGAGACGGATAGCAGAGCACTACAGGCTCACTCACAAAACCCAACACTACCCTCGTGCTAACCGGGGAGGGCTCCAGAGCTTCCCAGTGCCTCAGTTTCTGCTGTAGAAGCAGAAGACAGCAGGGCTCTGCATCAGCTACACTCACCAGCTCCCCACCAGGTAAATTCATAGATGATAGCAACAAGACTGAATCGAGCCTGGAATTTGTTTCCACTTTCCATCGCTTCTGCTGAACCTGAAGAAGAAAAATAATCTGTTGATATCCGCTCAGAAATGGAGCAGCAGCTCTTCAGCAGAGCGGGAGGTCCTGCAACCAGCCAAGCACACAGGAGGAAACAGCTCTGGACCACTTCCAGCCTCATCTTGTTTAAACCCTCCGCGCCGACAGTGCCTCTGTGCAGGAACGCTGACGGGAAGGTCAGAGACACTCCAGAGTGGCCCATGGCACGTTCACCCCCCTCCTCCACGGCGCGTCACGAAACCCCAACTTTACCTCCGTGATCCTCCCGACCACGATATCACCGACTTCGCCGTTGTACCTGGGAGCGGGACAGAGAAATCAGCACAGAGAAAGCGGCCCGTCAAACACCTCATCCTCCCCAGAAGAAGACCCAGCCGGCGGCCAGCCCCCGCGTGGCACAGACAGCGGGCTTCACACCCCCTGCGCGGAGGAGGCGGCCATACTCACCTGGTCTTCAGCGCTCTGACACACACCAGCTTGTTCACCCTCTCCACGGCGCCGGCCACCGAGGCGATGAGCTTCTCCTCCTCCACGTAGGTGCCATGGCCCCTGCGGAGAGAGCGGGGCCGCCTGAGGAGAGCCCGAGGCCGGCCGGCCAGCCCACACCGCTCCCCTCCGCCGCTGCCCCTACCTCATGTAGCCCGTGTCCGTGGTGATCGTGTCCCCCGGCGCAACCAGGTGCTTCTCACCGCCCCGGGGCGCGCTCGGCTCCACCGCCTTGCGAGCCACCGGCAGCCGCATGCTGATCGCCGCCATCTTGAGTGCGGGCGGCGCGGCGCCCGCGACCCCGTCCGCAAGCGCCTTCCGCCCGCCATGTTAGCTGCTGGCGGGAAGGCGCCTGAGGGTCGGGCGCCGCCATCTTAAGTGAGGGCGGCGGTGAGGTTTCTGCGTAGCCATTTTGGTTCCTGGCAGTAAAGGCACTCGTGGGCTTCGCTGCTGACTCGGAGGGAGGGAGGGGCCATGTTTAGTGAGGACAGGGTCCCTCCCTCGGGCGGGCTGTGGGGCTGAGCGGGAAATGCCGCCCCACAGCCGGGGCCAGCTCCCTGCGAGCCCGCCCTGCTGCACCAGGGGGACACCAGGCCCACGGGGCCCTCTCCCTGCCTCCCCACCACCGCACCTTGGGGGACACCCCCAGCTGAAGGGCAGCACTGCGGGCAAAGGGTGCGCTTGCCCTGGAGGGAGGCAGCACCCCCAGTTTCTGGGGGTGCCCGCGCGCCTGGGTGTACACACAAATTGCTCCTGCCACGTTCGGAAGATAACCCTCATCCTCTTCCGAGGTGAAGGCAGGGTCCTGGAGCTGCGCCCGGCCCTGCCAGCGAAGCCGAGCGGCCTCTCCTCCTGCATTAGGTGGGCCAGGGGATTCCCCCCAGCATACACCAGGCCAGCGCTTAGGCTTGGCTTAAACATCTCCTGAGGGATGAGGAATTTACCCCTGCCCCTGGCAAAGCGGTTCCAACAATAAATAATATGTTTGTGTGGAAGTTTTATTCATTTAATTCAAACAGCAGAGTTGCTGAGAAAATACCAAGGCAAAAGAAGCCAGCGCTAACCTCCAGCAAATGCTTTGCTGCCACCAGACCAAAATCAAACGTTGTTCTTTCAAGCAAGACTTGTACCTGTAGCCCATCACAGCTGAAATATAACCATTATTTCATGGAATATATCAAAGGATATCAACAGCTGTTGCTTCAAATGGAGACTGTACATGAGACATGGGAGGTACCAGGCCAAATAACACTACCTGCTCCTGCACTCACCCCTTCTCTTGCAGGGCTGCGGAGGCACTTTTTTTTCCCCAAAGCTGATCTTTCCTCTTCCCAGCTGCACTATTTGGTCCAACAGACAATGCTGCATCTCCCTAGTCACCTATTATTGTGTTAGCTAAAACCTTCACTCATCCCGCCACTGCATCCTTCCTCCGGCAAATAACAAAACTCTCCATACTATCCATCTTCTAAATGATAAATGTTCCAAGTAATTTTTATTTAGAATACAAGAGAGAGATACAAATGTATTTACACTGTGTACATATACAATCAAATAATATATAATATCAAAGTTTTGTAAATAATGTTTACATAAATATTTACAAAGTTAAAGTGACAGGTTGGTTGGTTTTTTTTTTTTCTGGAAGTAAAACACAGTTTGTGAGAACTTTATACATCTTAGACTTATAATTAATATTAGAATACCTTCTTTTAAGCTTTATGATACACAGCCCTCCTCTCGCGTGTGGCAGGACTCCAGAGGGCGCTTAGAGTTGTCCTTGGGGACAGAGCTGGCCCAGGGACCGGTTTTCTCTGTCCCCAGAGGGCAGTAGAACTAACAGCCGAAATGTTCCCTCCCGGCTGCGGGGAGCGATGGGGAGCGATGCTCCCGGGGCTGGAGCAGGCGCGGCCCGGCAGAGCACGGGGTCCCCCACCAAACCTGCCCATAGACGGGCATTTCCAGCGGCACGTCATGCTGGGGGTGTCCCCGTCATGCTGGGGGTGTCCCCTCTGCCCATGGCATTGCTCAGGGGTGTCGAGCAAACCCCAATACACAGCTTGGGCTGGAGAGCAGGCAAGGGGATTTGGGGAGGAGGGGAGGAAACACAACCATTTGTAAATCAGGGCTCCCGGGAAGGGAAATGTGTCACTTGGGAAGAGCCACCAGGGCCAAAGCTGCTGCTGGGGTAAACAGGCATGAACGGGGTGGCTGCAACAGGGCTGTGCCAGCCTTTCAACAGACACACATCTCCCCGGGCATGCGCTGCAGCAGAGGAGGAGGGATAAAAGCAATTTTTCTTTCCATTAAATTATCTGTAAAACCCAGGCGTGACTCATCCAGGCCCAGCTTTTAGCTGCCCCAGTCCTCCCCCAGCAAACCCACACAGGACATCCTGCTGTGACCCTTTGCTCCTTTCCCCCTGCCAACCCCAGGGACCAGCAGCCCACCCTACACCACAGCTCCCCCCGGGGTGGATCCCGCATGGTGTGCGGCTGCACCAGCAGCTTGCAGAGCTGGGGGGGGGTGGGGGGGTGGTGTCCCCTCGCTCACCCAACAGCCTGACAAACCCCACGCAAACAGCAGCGCCCCAAAAATAAACCAGCACCCAAAGCAGCCCTGCCGCTGCCCCCCAGTCCATTGCATGTCTCAGCTCCAGTCTTTGCTGTCCAAAAACCCGCCTAGGCTTCACAGCACCATGGTGGGGATGTGATGGGCCAAGGATGCGGGATGGGGCACAGGCAGGGCCGGTGAGTGAGCCTGCAGGGAAGCGTTGGGGGGCCGATGGCGGGCGCTTTTCTGGTGTGCCCGCAGCCCGGCGAGCTGGGAATAGGCACTTTGGCAAACCTGGCACTTGTAGGGACGCTCGCCGGTGTGCAAGCGGACGTGGTTGCGGAGGGTGGAGGACTGGCTGAAGCGGCGGTTGCAGAAGCGGCACACGAAGGGCTTGTCCAGGGTGTGGATGCGCATGTGGGAGCGCAGGTTGCTGCGGGAGTTGAAGCCCCGGTGGCAGATGACGCAGCGCATGCGCCCTGTCGTGCTGGCCCCCGTCTCTACTGCGTGGAAATCCTCTGGGGACGACAGGGGACGGTCAGGCGCTGCCCTCCAGGGCGGCAGCTCACCCCTGAACCCCCAAGGTGCTGACTGCCCTAAATAACCAGCCTGTGCCCCCTCGCTGGCTCCCTGCCCCCCAGGCAGAGATGCCCACTCAGGGCAGAGCAGGGTTGCAGGCTGGTACTTAGGGCTTCGGGGTAGGGCCGGAGTTGGGATTGGGCTCACCCAAATTTAGGTGTCGGGGAAAACTCAAGATGACCTATCCCCGCTATAGATGAGCACAAAAAGCATTTTTCCCCTCCCTCAGCTGGCAGCAGAGCTGGAGGGGGTGAGCACAGGAGCCCAGCCCACAGCCACACTGCTCTAGCTTCCATCTTGGGCTCTTTTTTCACAGCAGCATGCTGTCCCTATGTTGGTTCCAGCCTCTCTCCCTGCTCTGCTGGGCTCTGATGCAGCTCGCTCAGAGGAGCACGGGTGGAGAGCTCCAAGCACAGCATCCCCTAAAGCGCCCCAGAGCTCTGCTCCCTGTCCACAGAGGAGTGCCTTGGGGAACCACCAAGACAAGCAGCGAGTGAAAGCCCAGGGAGAGAAAAGCCTCTGCGATGGTGATTCAGGGAAAGATCTATTAAATGCAGAGTGGGCACATAGGCAGCTGCATCCACTCGGCGTTTCGCAGTGCGCCAGGGCTGCCTTCCTCCCCCTCGCATGCCTGTACTGCTCCTCCCTGCACAGCTGCGTTGGGCAATGGGCGCTGGCCACCACACCAGCAATAGCTGTGGGCAAACTGGCACAGAGGTGAACCCTCAGATTACTGGGGACCTGATCAAGCTCTACGGGTCTGTCTCATAGCCCCAGTGTTTGCACCCAGAGAGCTGGGGGGTCTGACACCTCCCCTGGGATGCCCCATGCCTACCCCCAGCCTCAGAGCTGGGGACAGGATGAACAGAGAACGGGAAGGGATGCTGCACCAATGGCTATTTCCAATGTTACCTACCATGTTTGTTCTTCTTCTGCTCCTCTTCCAGCCCCGGCACGCCGGGGATGCCCAGGAAGGTGTTGTGGGAGTTCCCGTACCAGACCAGCAGCTCTTGGTCTGGAGGAATCATCTAGAGAGAGAGAGAGACGGGGGTGTTGGGAGGGGTGATGAACAGCTCCTCACGCATCCTTGACTAGTTGCTTCGGACCCACCCTGGCCATACCCCATTTCTTGCAAGACCCTGCTGCCATCTGGGTCCTGCCAGCGGTCCCCAGCACCCCCCGGGTGGCACAGCACGGCCAGGCTGCAGCACTGGAGGTGATGGCACAGCTCAGCACCATCCACCACTGGCACAAACCTGCACTGGCGCGTCCCCCAGGCTGGGCCACAAACAATGTGACAGTCAAACACGCGGCTAGAGAGCACACAGACAGAGCTGGGGTCTCCAAAGTGAAGGACCCAGAGGTCCCTGCAGCTCAGGGAGATGAGGACGTGGTGGCACACAGAGAAATAAGTCATTTGTGGACGCGTGAACTGCAGCAAGGCACAAGTGGCAGGGAGCCATGATGCAGAACCCTGGCTCAGTGTCCCTACAGAGCATTTCAGCTCTGGATGGAGACATCAGCACCCTCCTGCTGTAGGGCACAGGCAGCATCTCCCACCCGACCCCACTGGGGCTGAATTTAGCACATGGAAATGCAGATGCACCAGCAAAGGGTTCGTCAGCCCCAGGATTGGAGACCTTGGGGGCTGCTATAGGACAGCGTGGCCAGGGTGTGAGATGCTGCCTACATCCCACACCAAAGCCTCGGTGCCTGCAACAGCCCAAAGAGATAAATAGGGCCAGGGGAGGGCTTTTGCACCACCCATGCTCCTATTTACCTGAAACGATAGCAATTCTCCTTCCCCTGTTGCTCCCGCTATGTTCCTGCCCTGCCAGGGCAGCCAGAGCAAGCAGCCGGGAAACGCCGTTCGAGCCTCCCCGCACAAGAAGCCGTGGCTGGGAAGTCAGATGCTCTCACAGCATTTCAGGCAGCACTAATAACAACATCACTTTATAAAAAAAATGCACAGATTTTTTTCCTTTCAGGTCGCCAGTGTTAAGAACCCAATTTAGAAACGGGAAAGTCTCCTGCTTCAGAGGACAGCTTTCCATACACAGAGTAATCCGAGAAAAGCATTATCCACATGAAACGCAGATCATAAGTTAGGTCACCCAAGCACTGAAAATGTGCCTAATTTTAAGCATCTGAAAGCAGTGGTAATTTTGTTTTCATATTTTTAAGTATCCGTCTGCGTAAAGCCCTCACTAGGGCTGCAGAGTAGGAATTGGGAGGCGGAGGAAGCCGATATCATTTTACATCCCAAATTGATGCTGTTTCTGTGTCATTTTCTCTTAACAGAAAATGAGTTAGTTTTAATACAAGCAAATAGAATAAAACATTGCCAAAAGGTTAAAACACACTGCTTGTGTGCGTGTGTTTGTGTGTGTGTGTGTGTGTGTTTAAATTGGTGCACCTGTGCCAGCAGTGGGTGAGCACTCAAGTGCATACACCCCAAAACAATTTTAAATTGCCCCCCAAGAATCTCGTGGCCTTCAGATCAAAAGCCAAAACCTGCTGTCCTCACTTTATTTTCCAACAGTGGCAACTTGGAATTGCCGAGGAAGAGGATGGAGAAAAACAAACCAGCAAGTAAGAGCAGAAACGGGCAAAACACATGAAAATATTAAAGGCAAATAGTGAAAAAGGCACCCAATAAATCTGATTTTGTGGTGGGTAGGTGAGAAGGGCATCCTCAGAGACACTGCGCTGGAGTCACAGTGCAGCAGAGGTGGGTGCAGAGTGCTGGGGAGGGGGTGCAGCAGGCACAGGGGGGCAGGAGGTGGGGGACCCCCCCCCAGCGGGTAAGGGAGGAGGGTGACGGTGCCCATGCACGGACAGGTGCTGCTGAGGGAGAGCATTGCTGGGCTCAGGCTGGTGTTGGCGCATCCTGCCCGGGGCTGAGCTGTTACAGCTGATCTGGGGCTGGTGCTGCGCTCTCAGTCCAGGATTTGTGGCAAGGGACGTGACAAGGCAGGAGCAGTGGGTAGCAAGCAGGGACCTCGCTCAGGTCCGAGATGCTGTATTTGTGTGCCCGTGACTGCGCTACGGGTTTAACGAGTGGAGAGAGAGAACCACAAAAGGAAAACCCTCTCTTGTTTTTCCTTTTCATTTTGGGTGCACAAATTCCAGTGAGTTTGAACAAGCAATCGTTTTTGGACTGCGTGTGTGTGTGCATGCCCTGCCTGCAGGTGTGTTGCATCGGTGGGAACGGGGAGCCCATGGAAGATGCAGATCCTTGACCTGTCATGCCCAGTTGTGTCCCAGCTCCTCGCACCCTCCACGCTTCCCTTCCTCACACTCTCACACGAAAGCCCCAGACGCTTCTCCCCCTCCTGGACAGAGGGACCCCCGCCGACCTGGCAGCAGCGGGAGCAGGAGCTCTGCCAGGCGCCTGCCATGCCCGGGGAACACGCTGCAGCGCAACAGCAGGCACCCCTCATCCCTACTTTCACCTCCCTGTCTGAACCTCAGGGTTCAGAGCTCTCAACATTTCAACCTTGCTGCTTGTGCCAGGAGAATTATGCTCATCCTGCTCTGGCACTCGCTGCTTCAGCCCCGGGGAGCAAGCCTGCAGATCGACTGTGACTGTACAGGGCTTCTACATGCACCTCCCCAAATCTCAGCTCACCTGCCCCACCATCCATGCATGCACAAGGTGCAAGAAGCGTGGCTGTATTCCTAATTACACCACGGCAACCTGGAACTATTTTACTTCTCTGCGTAATTTAAGAACAGTAATAAAAAGCAATTAAGCTTCTGTCACAACAGGCACAGCTGCCCACAAGAATATCAAGTCTTAAAAGCAGGTCCAGCTGAAGCCTACAGAGGGATGTTCAGGATGGGGAGAGCAGCAGAGAAGCACTTGGGGCTCTTGCAACACTGCCCGGGGAAAGGCATCAGAGCCCCGAGAGGCACACGGGGGCCTCTCGCACCAGCAGAAAATACCTGTTCTCTCCTTACCCACCCACTCACCTTTCCCATCCCACTGCGGCAATTCCAAACCCAGCCCTGATGCTGGCTCAGGGCAGGATCGAGCCGTGGTCCTGTGCCATGGAGCGTTTGAGCATCTGCCCCTCCATAAGCCAGTGCAGGAGCCCAACTAGATCTGGGGTGCTGCCCTTGCCCACGGTACTGGTGGGCCCTTTCCCAGTAAGACCCTCTCCCAGCCACGAGCAGCGTGGGACCCCGCGGTCCTGAGCATGCGAGACTTTGGCCCCGGTGCTGGAGAGGGAGGGTCCCACAGAGCTGCTCTGGGATGAACTGGGAGATGTTCCCTCATTGACTCTAAGCTGAAGTGGCTGCACAGGGACACCTCCCTGAGCTACCACCTTCCTCCACCTGCAACAACATCGGGTTATGGGGACACTGCGGGGCTGGTCCCCACTGTCACACCGCTGGCACTGTGTGACCTGGGTGTACATGGCATCGACACCCACCTCCATCCCAGCATCTCCCACGGGGAGCTGTGGGCACCTCCAGCCTTCACCCCCCAGCACGGCAGCCTGTGCCCTGGGACATCCCTGGGACCCAGCGCCTGCCCCTGCTCCCCCACCGGGCCAGCACCCGCCAGCACATTGTACGTGAGCACGGGGATGAGCTGGGCAGGATGAGTCCCTTCCCCACAGCCCCGCTGCGGGAAGCCCGAGGCACGGCTGTACCAGCACGGCTCCCTGCCCGCCCTGCAGCTCCCCGCCCGGCTTCCGCAGCCCCGATCCTCCTCTCATGCTGTTTACAACTGGAGCTGCCTGTGACCCACCCGGGTTTCACAGAAACCCCCAAAATATCCCCTGCTACAGCAAAGCAGGTTCTTCACAAAATCCCATTTTTCAAGAGAGCATCAAAACCCCACTCCTGCCCGAAGCTCCGCCTGGGCCAGGATTGCAGCTCTTTTCATCCTTTACACCCCAAAACAAGCTTAGGCAGCACTTGTTCTCTCTCTGCTCTGCACATGCCACCCATGAGCCTGCCAAAAAGGGACAGAGAGAAGGGCCACTCCCTGCTCCCTGGGGTCTCCCTGAACCCCTTGCAATGGTCTTTCCCAGGAGATCTGGGTACCAGGGATGGCAAAGCCATCCTGTGCTCCCACAGACACCCCAAAGAACAAAGGAGGGTCAGTAGGGTGGGGGGTCCCAGCTCCCTGATCTCCTCCTGCAGCTGCCTCCCGGCCCCGCTTACCTCAATGGCCTTGTAGAAGATGCTGTTCCCGATCTGCACCACCTCCAGGTTCTGCTCCTGCTCATTCCGCGCACATTTGATGTAGGTCATCCAGCTGCGGTGGTCCTCCTGGCTGGCATCGATGAAGTACCGCACCGTGCCGTCTTCGTTGAAGACCTGGACCGGGGAGGAAGCGGTTAGTAGCGATGCTGCCCATGTTGGACCGAGCCCATCCACCTTCTGCCTCTGGGATAAAGTCCCCACCCAAGGACAAGCTCAAAGCCAGCGTGGCCTCGAGGCTGAGACCCAGGACCTGCTGCCTGCAGACGGGAGATGCCCGAACCCTTCCTGCGGGTGGTGCTGGACCGCAGCGGGGCTGAAGAAGGTTTCCCTGCTCTCGCTGGGCGGGCACAGCCAGCCCCGCCGGCCTGTGCCCACCCGGGTAACACAGCTCCCTGCCTCAGTCCCCTGTCTCGGCAGAGCCAGCCGCTCGGCCCCAAAGGGGCTTTTTAGCCTCCTGCAGCTGCCTGTGGGAGCGGGGACATCCTTGGGTGGAGGAGGAAGGTGCCTGCCAGACCCAGCCCGCAGGGGAAGATGCTTTGCAGGGTGGCAAGAAAGGTGAGGCAAGTTTCTACTAGGCATAAAATTATAATAAAAAATAATAATTAATAAAAGTACAAGTCTGACAGTGAAACAAACCGAAACCAAAAAAAAAAAAAAACCAACCCCAAAACCAAGAAAAGAGGAGAAAAACCCCCTCTACTAGCTGCGCATTAATGCATGACATCCTGGCAGCTCAGACTCCCCCAAACCCCACAGCTTCTCGGGGTTAACCACAGCGGGGCTGGGACAAAGCAAGGGACGGGGCAGAGCTGGTTTCATCCGCCGCGCAGGGTACAGGCAGCTGCCAATAGGAAGGGCAGGGCAGGGTGTGATGCTGCTGCGTGTGACACGAGCAACAGCGTTTCGGGGCTCCTCCGAGAGCTGGCTGCACCCCGAGGGCTGGAGCAGCTTTGTCCTTCCCCTGCCCCAAGGGTCTCCTAAACCCACCTGCCCTGGAGGACGCCACATCTTTGCATGAACGGGGAAACCGAGGCACGGGAGCACAGGACAAAGTCCCCGGGCCCCAACACCCCGTCCCTGCCGGGGCTGGGGGTACGGGGGGGTGTCGTTACCTCCCACATGAGGTTGTTGTTCTTGCACAGGTCCACATGCTCGGGCGAGATGACCCTGCCCGTGAAGGGTCCCATCTCGGTGCCAGCCTTGATCCAGGTCTTGGAGAAGATGCCGAGCCCTTCCCCGGGGATGGAGCTCTGGGCGATGATCACTTCCGACGGCAGCACCAGGCTCGACAGCTTCTGCACCTCTGCGGGCGGCGGGACAGGGCTCGGAAACGGGACCCGCCGCCTCCCACCCCGCCGCGGGGGGCAGCGGGGAGCCCTTCCCCGGCCCCAGCCCAAAAGCCCGGGGCTGAGCCTTTTTAAACGCCCAACCGGGCTCCTACAAAGCGGTACAAGGTTCCCCCCGGGGCATTGAGGAGGTACCTGGGAAAAGCAGCCCGGGCTGGGCGAGGGAGCGGGACTGAGAAAAGGGGTTAAATGGTGTCTATTTCGGCCCATCCAGCAATTTGTCATGCTGTTAAAGTGATCTGCATTCATTAAGCTCAACTAGAAAGAAATTGCTAATTCTAAATTCATTAGTCCTTTAGGAATGCTGTAGCGGTACATTGTGCCTGAATGGCGCAAGGGCTTGTTTAAAAGGGCCCAGGAATTCCTCTTACAAAATGGGGAGATGAGATGGTTGACATATCGTGAATGGAAATGGAATTAGCCTTCATGGTAAATTAAGAGAGGAACAGAAATCCGAGAGGGGGAAAAGGGAGCCGGGACGCCCCGGCGATGCCGGGGCGAGAGAAAAGATATTGTCCCGGGCGGCTGAATGCGGGGCGGCCCCGGCCCCCCCCGGCCCCCTCCCCAGCCCGCGGTTTAAGTGGGAACTTTCTCAGGTCAAGCCCAAGTTAACCAAATGAATTTAAAGCCCTTCTTCCCCAGTC